TGGTGAAGTTGATAGAGGTGTTGGTGTACATCGCGGTGATGATGATGGCCCTCGGCGGCATTCCGACACCACCGGAAGCGAGGGGGATTGAGAGAGGCCCCCTTCTTCTTCTTCTTACTTGACCTTCTCCCTAGATGGGAGAAGGGTTTCCCCTCTGGTCCATGGTCTCCATGGCGTAGGAGGGGCGAGAGCCCCTCCGAGATTGGATCTGTCTCTTTGTCTCTCTCCGTTTCTACGTTCCCAGATTCTTCCCTTTCACCATTTCTTATATTCCAGGAGATCAATATGTTAGTCCCAAAAATAGTATAAAAAGTTGCCAAAAGTATATGAAAGTTGTAGAATATTGGCATGGAACAATAAAAAATTATAGATACGACGGAGACGTATCATATGTATGTTGTGATTCCCTTAGTGGTGTCATGTGAACGTCAATCACATGACACTTTAGCATATTTGGGCCTAAGGGAATGCATTATGGAGTAGTTATTAGATGATGGGTTGCGAGAGTGACATAAGTTTAAACCCTAGTTTATGCGCTATTCCATAAGGGATCGATTGGATCCAAAAGTTTAATGCTATGGTTAGAATTTATTCTTAATACTTTTCTCGTAGTTGCGGATGCTTGCGAGAGGGTTAATCATAAGTAGGAGGTTTGTTCAAGTAAGAACAACACCTAAGCACCGGTCCACCCACATATCAAATTATCAAAATAGCGAACACGAATTAAGACAACATGATGAAAGTGACTAGATGAAATTCCTGTGTATTTTCAAGAACACTTTGTCTATCATAAGAGACCGTTTTGGCCTATCCTTTGCCTCAAAAGGATTGGGCTGCCTCACTGCACTTTTGTTACTACTATCGTTACTTGCTCCTTACAAATTATCTTTCTATCAAACTACTCTGCTACTTACAATTTTAGCACTTGCAAACATTACCTTGCTGAAAACCACTTGTCATTTCCTTCTGCTCCTCGTTGGGTTCGACACTCTTACTTATCGAAAAGGCTATAATTGACCTCATATACTTGTGGATCATCAGGATACTGCCAGAACAGCTCAGCTTGACATCATGGTACATTTGCCCACACTTCCGATAGTTCATCTTTGTAAGTTTTCCTAACCATACATAATAATTTCATGTAATCTCTAAATTATTCTTTGTAAATAAAATGTTATATATATAATTGGACATCTTATTTCTTTGTGTCAAAGAAACTCGTAGGATAGTATGCTACTAAAGGCACCACAACTGGTTTGCAAGAGATGGAGGAGGTCATAACCTTTGTTTACCATATTATTGGGAAACGTGGTAGAAAAGAAAAAAATGCCCTATGAACACCCATGAACCATATGAAGATGCATAAACGGTTTGGATCACAGTTGTTACTGACTCCAGAGTGCAGAAGAAGTAGACGAGTCGGTGTAGATCGTACTTGGAGTCCCTCAAAACGTTGATGACGATCCCGTGAACCGCCCTCGAATGATGCCTTGAACAGAAGACCGAAAGCATGGCCTCACTACTTGGTTGCAAGCATATAATCTTCATGATCTGGCAGCGCTTTGCCGTCCAGAGCTAATCATCGCTGAAGAATTAGAGGGGGGAGATTAGAACCATATAGGGATTCTAATTATGAGGATTAGAGGATCTAGGTCAACGTCTAATCGATCAACTTGGATCCACTAGAACTAGGAGACTAGAGGGGGCTCCAAAAGTTATGTGTCCAAATAGCACCAAAACCTCTAGTATATATAGGTTGGGAGAGGAGGAGGAGGCGCCACACAACAGGAAGGAATCCTCCTTCCTTGCGCCGGCCGTAGGGGGAGGAGAATTTCTCCCCCAAGTCCAATTCAGCCCCCCACAAGGGGGAAAAGGGATGCCTCCCCTACATGGGCCTTGGTGGCCCAATTCTCCCTCCACTACTTGGCCTTTTAAGGCCTGTTGATATACTAAATTAAATATAAAAGCCTTTTAGCAATTACTAGAGACTTTTATTATTAATTTAACATCTCCGAAAATATTTTCCACCTATATATTAATTACCAGCAATACCCGGTATTGCCCGGTAATGCACAAAGGAAGATGGGGGCTTAATGTTTCGCCTCCCAACTTACTTATCATGGACATAATTGTCAACAATAAGAACTCATGATCAAATATATTTGAATGGATATATGTTCATGGTTCTTTCCCCACCACATGATGTTTGCCAAGTAGAGAATTAATGAGGTTGGAATAAGGAGTTGATTCAACATGAAAAGTAAATAAATAGGCCCTTCGCAGAGGGAAGCAGGGATTTGCTTATGTGCGAGAGCTCATTGCTTAAAACAGAGATGATTTCATTTGAGAGGTGTACTTTTTCTGTCAACGGTTTAACAACAAAGTTTTAAATATTTTCCATGCTAAACACATTAACGAAAGTTCCCATAATGAAAAAAGTTTTGATCTCCCACAACCATACAAACACAAGCCATGGCTAGCCGAACCCACAGGTGCCCTCCAATCAATCAATCAACTTTTCAAGGGGATTTTTTATATTAAGTTAAGTAGGGTGACTGGACATCCCTTTTACCAGCCTCCCTCAAATTTGACAAGTGAATAAACTCTTGTCAGTGAGTAAAATACACTTAGTGACATTGGCATTATTCTTTAAGAAGAATGATGGTGATGATGATGATGATGATGATGATGATGATGATGATGATGATGATGATGATGATGATGATGATGATGATGATAATAATAATAATAATAATAATAATAATAATAATAATAATGACAAAATCACACACATTTTACACAAAAACTATGCTTTTTTATAATAGATGCAAGAATAAGTATATAATAGTGTAATTTTCACACAAAAAGTTCCCTAAGAAGGAATGAATCAGTGGCATTGGTGTTACCCTTAAATAAGAAAAAAAATCAAAATAGTAAAGTTTTCTCGGGATGAATGAATTAGTGGCAATTGTATTATCTTTTAAGAAGAAAGAAAATGAAATAAAACCTAAACCAAATTAATGGCACTGTTATTACCCTTTAATAAGAAATAAAATAAAATAAAAAGTAAAAGTAAAATAAATAAAAATAATGAAGTTGTCTAAGGAATAATGAATTAGTGGTATTGTTATCACCCTTTAAGAGAAAAATTTAATGACAAAATTCGCATCGAATTTACACAAAAAATGTGCTTGTTTTCTAATATGCAAGAATAAGCATATAATAGTGAAAAATTTCACACACAAAAGTGCCCAAAGAATGAATGTGTTAGTGGCATTGGCATTACCCTTTTAAAGGAAGAAAATGAAATAAAAACTGAAACTAAATTAAAATAATAAATTATCTAAGTAAGAATGAATTGGTGGCAATGGTATTACCCTTTAAGAAGTAATAAAATAAAATAAAAACAAAAAAACAAAATAATGGAGTTTTCTAAGAAAGAATAAATTAGTGACATTGGCATTACCGTTTAAGAAAAAGAAACATGGTGAATTTCTTTGTACACAATTTACTTCCTTTATAAGTAAGCATATAATAATGGATCCTTTGCAAAAAGGAAGTTTCCTACAAAAAAATGAATTGGTGGAATTGGTATTACCCTTAAAGAACAAAAAAAATTATACCAAAATCAAAATAATGATGTTTTCTAAGTAAGAATGAAATAGTGACGGTGGTATTACCCTTTAAGAAGAACAAAAATATAAATATAAATATAAAAGTTGCACAACCTTATACTGAAATTGCACTTTTTGTACATGTGTAATAGGCATATAATAGTACAACTTTCACACTCTTATGTAGTTATACGCTTATTGTGTAGCACTTGCATGAATACAATTGCACTCATGAAACATCCCAAAAATGCCCATAGGAAAAAATACTGGATTACAAAAAACAAAAGCAAAAATGCATAAGAACAGAAAAAACAGAAAAAGGCATAGGGAGGGAGGGGAGGGTTGGGTTATCACGAGGGCTAGAGAGAACTAGCTTGGTCGTCGGGTTAACGGGCCTCAGCTCATTGAGATACTGAGTCACCCAACACAGAGGTTGGTGATAAATTTTCAGCCCAAAACAAGTCACTACACAACAGGAAAAAAAACATGAATCTTGGAGCAACAATCTCTGTGTTAGTGACAAATTTTCAGCTTAGGAAAAAAAAACATGAATCTTGAAGCAGCAATCAATAGGCTGAAAAATCTGAATTTAATTTTCCGGCAACTTACATAGTGGCAGAGTTTGACCAAACTCTTTGGGGAGTACTCCCTCAGTCTTTAAAAGAGTGTACTGTCAACTTTGTAAAAGGTCAAACTTTTTTATGTATGACCGTATTTATATAATAATAGCCAACATCTATGCCATCAAATAGTAGCATTCTCTGCAAAAATAAAATAAAATAAAATAATAGCATTAGATTCATGATGAAAATTCATCATATACCTATTTGGTTTTATAAGCATTGAATATTTTTGCACAAACTTGATCAAACCTTAAGATAGTTTGACCTACTAATAAAGTTGGAAATACACTATTTCAAAGACCGTGCGTGTATAAGCTTGTGCTGCGGGCGGACCTAAAATTTGATCACCTAAGCCCTCTCTCTAAAAATATTATCCTACAAATTTTCTCCGCCATCGGAAAGTAGAGAAACCCAATGATTTTATTTAAAAAAAACACACCCAATGATTTGCATGTCTTTCTAGGCACGAATTGCGACGCTTGAAAAAAAAAGAGGTGAATCTATGCACGGTAGATATTTGTATGAGCGGTCAATATAATAAAGCTCGTGGGCCTCGTGGTTTAGCTTAAGAATAAACAAAGCAAAGAGAAAGAGGATCAGGGAGCAATCTTCCTCACGACCTCGATCTAGAAGCACTCCACGCTCCACAGTACTCTGTCTCTACTCCACACGAGCAAAAGTCAACCAAAGCTCATAGCTCCGTTTCCATCGCATTCTTCTTCCATCCCTCCATCAATCCAAGAACCTAGCAGACGCCATCAGCATGAGCTGGTCCGACCTGCCAACCGAGCTCGTAGCCGGGATCGCCGACAGGATAACCGAGCATGTGGACCTCGCGCGCTTCCGCTCGGTTTGCCCATCTTGGCGCTCGGCCTCGGCGGAGCACGCCGCCCGCCGCCGCGTGCCCCTGCTTCTCCTGCCCTCCCAGCAGAACTCCCGCGTCAACCGCAGTCTCTGGTCCCTCGCCGACGACAGCATCACGGAGATCCCGATGCCCGCAGCGTGCGGCCGCTCCTTCCTCTTCGCCTCGCCGCGCGGCTGGACGCTCGCCGTGGCCGACGACTTCTCGGCCACGCTGCTGCACCCCTTCACGGGCGCGTCGGAGAGCCTGCCCGCGTTGCCGCCATCCTTCCACGACGGGTATCAGATGATCCTCCGTGACATGGTCTGGGACCGGTCGCCTGACGCCGTCATGGTCTCGCAGGGCAAGGGCGCGTTCTTCTGCCGGCTGCAGGGCGACGGCAGGTCGTGGACCCCCGCCGACCTCTCGCCGCCAGCTCGCGTCGGCAGCATCACCTACTGCGACGGCGCGTTCTACCTCCTTGACAAGCGCGCCAACAAGGTGACGGCCGTGGACGGCGCGACCTTCGCCGTGGCCGCCGCGATCGAGCCGCCAGATCTGGCGATGCCCGACCGCTCGTGGGCACGCGAGTCCACGCTCGTCGTGTCGTCCGCCTCCGAGCTCCTCCTCGTGGTGCACGGAGGATGCCACCGCTCGAAGGGCCTCTTCAAGGCCTTTCACGCGGACCGCGGGAGCCTGGTGGCCGGGTGGTCGGAGGTCTCCGGCGGCGGCCTCGGCGACCGCGCCGTGTTCGTGGACCACGCCCGCGGCTTCTGCGTGGAGGCGAACGGGGTCAACGGGGTGCGGAGGAACTGCGTGTACGTGGCCAGCGCGCACGAGGAGGCCAACGCCAACGCCAACTCCGGGTGGGGCGACTGGGGGAGGTACACCGTCTCCATGCTCGACCTCGACGGCCTCACCACCCAGAATCTCTCCCACGGCAACCTCTTGAAATGCCTGCACGGTAGGCAGCGCCCTTCCTGGTCGATGCCAAATCTGCATTGATCTTACTCCTCCAAACGAAACAACGTGTGCGAGTTGATCGCATTGAGGTCGGTTGGTTGCAGTAATAAGCAGAGCTGCCAGTTCGTGTACTATTCTACGAGAAGTGAAAGATCTAGCTTCAGTTACAAGAATTTGATTATCAAATGTGTCACCGTGTTCCTAACAAAGTACAGTACCAGCCTTTGTATCAGTGTATGTTTCTCTTCATGCTCTGCCTTTTCACGGCCGACGTGCAGCCTGATTGACGATCTTGTTCTGATCGCCTGATCTGCAACACGATGCGTCATGCGCTGCATTGTCGAGACTACATACGTTTTGAGAGGTGTGCATCGAGTTTCAAATTGGCATGGCATCGTCGCCTCAGGTGTATTCTGTAAGCAATTTTGTGCGGCTTCTGAATTTTGACAAAGGAAACAAATATGTGGATGCCAACAATGCAAGCGCAACCAGTGAAGACGAGCTCAAGCAATCACTCGGTGAGCACCACTACGGACGAACCAGGAATCTTGGTAGAGAGGGGCCAATATAAGAGGTAAAATGTTGGAGGCGCCCAAATATATAAATCTTGAGCATCTTCGGCTAACAACACAGGGGTGTTCAAAAAAAAAAATACATAGTGGTGTTTTCAATACGAGACTGGTTAGGTCTCAGTCGATTAAGACTTAGCCAAATCTCAAATGAATCTCCATGCAAAATCAAAAGAATATAACATCTGAGACATAACGAAACTCAGTTAGCAAAATTGTTCCAATATATACCATGGGTGGGTGGGTGGGGATGGGGGGGGGGGGAGGCATGGCCCCTGCTCGCCCGCCCCTGGCTCTGTCCTTGAGCCCACCAAACCAAATTCCCTTTGTGCCACCACCCCACTTACTAACCAACAAATATATATGTGTCTTCCGCACAACACTCCACTACCACGACCTGATTCTCTAATTGCTAGGAACTACTGGTGGTAGAAGACTTTGATCCGGCAAAAACCATTGAAGATTATCGTTTTGAGAGGGTGCCAATATGGGTCCGCATCTACAACGTCCCCTTGGGTATGATGTGCAAAGAACTAGTAGAACATATGGGGGAGCAGATCGGGGAGCTGGTGGAAGTGGATACGGGAAAGGATGGGACGACAATGGGGCAAGCACTAAGAGTAAGAGTCCGAATCAAGGTTGATGAGCCTCTGATGAGGGGGATGTTTCTAGATGATGAGGAAGACGGGGATGGTGACACCATTGTCAAGGAGCAAGGGAAGAGGAAGGAGGAGGAAGAGAAAAACTGGTGCCATTTTAGATATGAATTTCTGCCGGACTTTTGCTATACATGTGGAAGAATGGGACACACTGATCGCGATTGTATAAAGAAGCTTAAGAAGGGGGAGGATGCACAATATGGGAGGTGGCTGCGATATGTTCCAGAAGGGAGAGCTGTGGAGGAGAGAAGGAGGGTGGTGGTGAATACGGAGGGGGAGGGTCGAGGAGGAGGTATAGGTGGTCGGGGAGTGCGAGCAGATCAGGGAGTGACGGGCCATCTTGGAGGAAAGACAACCAGATGTCAGGGGAGGGGACAGAGAAGGGTAAGGGCGAGTTGGAGGGAGAGGTAACAAGCCCACTCAAGCTGAAAGCGGCAGAGTAGGATGTGGATGAAAGGAAGAAGCAGGGTGGTAGGAAGAAAGCTCTGTTTGCGGAAGCCATGGATAAGGATTCCCCTCCGCAGAACATCCAAAACAAGACGAAGGAGAGGAAGAAGGGAGAGGAGCTGCAGAGGGTGACCCGAGGAGAAGAGGAGGGGGAGAAAAATGGTAAGAGTGGTGAGTGACGAAGCCATGTACCTAGGGTAGGGTCATGGACCTGTCCAAAGTACCCTTCTCAAGGACATCTCTAGAAGAAACTACCTTTCAGTCGACCTGGAAGGATTCCACTCGACGGACTCGAAGACAATCGACCATGAAGACGCACTCGACCACCAGAAGATCTAGGGTCACTATGCATCCAAACGGTCTGTTATTAAGTAGTCTTTATGGCCATGATATCACTTTATGTAAGGCGTTACTAGTAACATCTGGCCTTTATGTACATTGAACTCTCTGCTACGTGGGCTGGCTGGGGTCCTGGCGCACTCTATATAAGCCACCCCCTCCATAGATAGAAGGGTTCGCACCCCTGTAACTCTCACGCATATAATCCAGTTGACCGCCTCCGGGCACCGAGACGTAGGGCTGTTACTTCCTCCGAGAAGAGCCTGAACTCGTAAAACACTTGCGTGAACAACTACTCCATAGCTAGGATCTTGCCTCTCCCTTAGTACCCCCCTACACTACTGTCAGACTTAGAACCACGACAGTTGGCGCCCACCATGGGGCAGGTGTCTTAGCGACTTGCTGGAGAAGTTGCAATTTTTTCCGATCGCCTTCATCATGGTTTCAGGCGGAGTTCTGGTCGAGGGCCACGAGATCCGTCTCGGCGCGCTCACGTTCATCGCCGACGACTCTGCCTGGCTTCAGGAGGCTCCGCTCGACGTCGACGCGCTCCCAGTCCGCAGAGAGACGCACTTTCGCGCGTGCGTCCGCGGTGTCCTCCTACGACAACCGTCGACTCAGTATCGACTGGTTTTTGTGTCATCCTCCCTCCAAGCTTCCCGTTGGCGCAAGCGCTCCGGTCGGTCGAGGCTTCAGCGGTGGGTGAGGCACACGGTGGCTCGCCAATCGACCACCGCCCAAGTCGCGGCAATCGAGCCCGACGAATCTCTCTACGGCCTGTTCGACCTGTCGACTGGCTCCGCAGAGACTGCATCTGAGTGCGACAGTAGTGATCCAGCGGTGGAGGTCCTGATGGTCAACGGACCACACGGTCCCCCCGTCTTTCCTGGTGCCGAGGAAGGTAACGGCGGAGGCGATCCATCGCATTCCCATGAGGAATACCTTCTCGAGCCCCTTAATTTGCTGCAGAGGGAAGAACTTCGCCGCCGGAACATGGATGCCCTTCATACTCCTATCGTTGGAGAAACCCCTGAGGCTCGCACCTTGGAGGACGCGCGCTTGGCCAACCTGGCTGAGCGCACTCGGCTGGAGAACCTTCAGCAAGCACAACGAGTCCCTGACTCCAGTCGACGTCAGCTCTTTCCACCTCCGACTCAGGTATATCGAACTCCGATTCAGAATTTAGCAGCAGCAGCCCGTATAGCAGAATCAATTCAGCCTTCCCAGTCATAGGCGGGCAGAGGCTTGATGCAGATCAGAGATTTGCTCCGGGCAGCAGGAGATCAAAATTTAGCTGTATCACAGTCGCGGAACAGGATTCACAGCAAATCCGTGGCTGCGAATACGGTCCAGTCGGCTCATAGCCCCGGATCGCCACCGAGGCGTGAAGGGCGTGGAGACCGGCACGATCAGTACAGGAACCGTGAGCAGTATGATCACCAATTCGATCGCGATGATCGATGTCGAGTGCCCACCCCTCCCCCTAGGGGTGGATCCTACGTACCTCGCCAACATGATGATAGATGCCAGCACAGTGGTGGGCGAAGAAATCCAGTCGACCCCAGGGAACCAGGCTTTGATTCAACATCCATCATCGTTCAAGGTCTGGTCGACCAGAACAGAGCTCACAGAGAGGGTCATGACAGAGATGTACCCACCAGCAGCCGAGTGCATGTCTCCGGACCAGAGTGCTTCAGCAGAGCCATCAGAGCCGCAGTGATTCCTCCCAACTTCAGGTTGGCGACTGGAGTCAGTAAGTTCAACGGTGAGTCTAAGCCCAATACTTGGCTTGAGGACTACCGAGTGGCCGTCCAGATCGGCGGCGGAAATGACGAGGTGGCCATGAAGCATCTGCCTCTTATGTTGGAGGGATCAGCCAGGGCATGGCTAAATCAGTTGACACCCAGCAGCATTTACACGTGGGAAGACCTATCCCGAATGTTTGTCAGAACGTTCGAAGGAACATGCAAGCGACCAGCAGGACTGACAGAGCTGCAATCTTGTGTGCAGAAGTCGAATGAGACTTTGAGAGATTACATCTAGAGATGGATCACATTGCATCACACAGTAGAAAATGTATCTGATCACCAGGCAGTCTGCGCCTTCAAGGAAGGCATTAAGTACAAAGAGCTAAGCCCGAAATTCGGTCGAACCGGAGACATGTCTCTGAGTCGAATGATGGAGATAGTGTAACGCTCCGGATCCGATGCGCCAGGTGTCTGCCAGTTATTCGCCGTCATTGCCATGTCATTTGCTTGCATGTTGCACTTTATCATGTCATCATGTGCATTTCACTTTGCATACGTGTTCGTCTCATGCATCCGAGCTTTTTCTCCGTTGTCCGTTTTGCAATCCGGCGCTCCTTTGCCCTCCAGCGTTCCCCTTTTCTCTCCTGTTGTGAGTGGGTGTTAAACTTTCTCGGAATGGCCCGAGGCTTGCCAAGTGGCCTTGGTATACCACCGGTAGACCGCCTGTCAAGTTTCGTGCCATTTGGAGGTCGTTTGATACTCCAACGGTTAACTGGGTAACCATAAAGCCCCTCTCTCTTTGCAGCCCAACACCCCTTCCAAACTGGCCCGAAACCCATCTAACTCCCCTCCATGCTCTCGTTCGTTCGATCACGATCGCGTGGCCGAAAACCGCTCCTTATTTGGACTCTCCTAGCTCCCTCTACCTACAAATATGTGCCCCTCCCCGAATTCTCGCGAAGAACAAACCCTAACCTAGTCCCTCTCCGCCGCCGGACGAAATCCCCACCGAAAGACATGTCCGCCGCCGCCGTTCGCCCTCTCCCCGCGCGACACGTGGCCTCCCGCGCCGTCGGGCCCGCTCGGCCCACCCACGGCCCGCCCCGGGGCCTGACCGGGCC